AAAAAAAAAAAAAAAAAAACAGTACTCAGGAGAGGAGGAGGTGGTCTCTTCAGCTGCTGCTTGACACCGGCCATCACCAACTCATCCTCAACCGCCACGGCTGAGGCAGATGGGTATTCTTTAAGGTGGGACAATGGAAAATAAAATGGAAACCATAGGATAATAGGGATTATATAGGGGTTATATTTGGGTTATATTGGGATAATGGAGAACAACATGGAAACTATTATATTATAGGGTTTAGGGTTTGGGGCTTCGGGTCTCGGATTACTCGTCGGTCCAAGGTTCGTTACAAAGCATTTAAATTAGGGCTTTGTAGATGGGCCTTGTGTGGATTGTCTGATTTGTTGACATTTCGGGTAGGCACGTGTGGTGGTGCAGAAGAGTTAGTTAATTACCCGCAATTGTAAGATCACGACCAAGAGTTATTATACTTACCTCCAAGTGGGCAGTTGCCACCTGTTTTTTCACAAGAATCATAAATTACAACAAGAAATACCATTAAGAGGTTTGGGCATCTGATTCTTGCAACAGGCGGGAGCTATCCAAGCCGTCTGCTAGCTCTGTGGTCTCTGGGAGTTTGTCAAGCTTGGAGTTCTTAGCAACTCTAGTATATATGAGGGTATTTTAATAGGGTATATATTGGGTGTTATAGAAGGAAATAAGCGAATATGATCCCAATATAATAGTATACCACCGAAATAGTGTAGCCTTCGTTCTGAGGACCTCAAAGCGGACGCCCTTCTGCAGAACTCGCCATACTGTGACTATGGTTCGCTCGAGTCAAGCCTGCTTAACCTTGTACGGACCGTCAAATTCAGGCGAGCCCATGAGCCTGAATACATTTTTGTGAGAGAATGCTTGTAACCCCCCAATTGGAGTGTACAGCAGGCTTCTATTCCTAGACCCAAACATCAGTGCTGAGTTCCAAGTCTGCGCAGTCCAAGCGCATAGCCCTTGTTGAAACATTCCTTGGCTTGTCCAGGCAGTGCATGTAAATCTCAGCTGCAGAGATGTTGCATCACAGATTTGAATCACGAATCCGGCAGAATCCTTCTCTAACAGCGACTCCCCTGAGCAAAATGGGGCACAACAGCATGAAGAGCTGGGCGTCAAGCCCTAATGAATGTCCAGAATCTCTTCTTAACCTCATGAGTTGGAGTCTCCTTTGCTTGCTTGGTTGGCGGAAATCGTGAGCCGCCAGCCCTATTCTTTTTTCCAATCCAAAGCTTTAGCGTTGTTTGCCGCAACCACGAAACTCACTCACAAAGTAGGTAAATTTCAGTAGTCGCGACACTTGCAAGAAGTGCAGCCATACTTCCTAGTTTTCCGTGTCAAGAGAATGTTTTCCTTATTCAAGACCTAGTGTAGGTGCCAAAGACTCATCCCTTGCAGAGAAAATGGCCGCGAATGAAGATGCTAAGATGCTGCATGCCCCAGAATCGTTGGGCCCATAAAAGGACCCGGGATTTTGAGAAACCCCTGCCTTGCGCGCCAGAACCCTGAGACCATGGAGGAGAAGGCAGCTGGGGATATCTACTTGTCGGTGCACAGGTTCCAGCTTTTAGGGATAATGAATTCATGCTTCTGCTTGCAGGGGGCGGAGTGAAGCCCTAGAATAATCATCCAACAACTGAAAATAGTCCCATACCTGTACAGGCCGCAGAACTGTCTCTATGATCCAGTCCTCGGTCCTCTGTGGGAGCTTCGGGGCATCTTTCCCAGCACTACACTCGTGTGAATGCCGCTGCCACTTCAAGCCTATTCAAAGCACTTGGCTTAGTGAAGCCCATCGTGGCACGCAACGACCAACCTGAGCATCAAAACACAGCTTATCATCTCAAAAGAGCAGATCGCCGCGCGGGGAGGCGTCAGCTGAAGGAGGCTGGCTGTGGAGAGTAACGCATTGAATTCGGGCACCAGACACGTGCAGGCTGTATATGGCTAGGGTGATCGCACCGCAACATGTTGACCCGCACAAACCAGGGCTTTGTTTTCGCTGCCGGATAAATAGTAATATGCAGTTGTGGCACGACTCTGAAACAAAGACGTACAGGCATGGAAGCGATTTCTGCTGCCCTTTCCCAGTTTGCGAATGCCTGAACCGAGCTTAGCTAGCAACAACAATAAGGCAATGTCCTGGTCTCTGATGCGTGGGCTGAGGCTTCTGCGATCTGCACCAGCCGGCAGGAGCGCATCAGTGCCAATCCTCATGCCCTTGTACCCTTGCTACCCTCATGAACCGTGGTGAGCAAAGCTTAGCAGGCTACGCACGCCAGCCAGACATTGCCCGGGCCCTCGGCCATTGACGTCGCATTGGAGCTTGAGTAGGTATTGACTCACCCTGTGCCTGAGGTTATCTCACCTTCCGCCGATTTGAAGAGCCTTTCGCCCGAGTGACTCAGCAGCAATGCCAACTGAAACTGCCGATCAGCCTTGCAAGCACCAGGCTGATGTCACGAGTCTGTGGCTTCCTCCCAGTGTTTTGGCTGGCACTTGTCCATTTGTCGCTGTTTCAAGAATCGGGACTGGAGCTCAGGTGCAAAGCTTTGCGCATCTACGTGGCGCATGTGCGATGACAGGCCCAGCAGAGCAGGCCGGTGAACTTGCCATTGACGGGATGAGAGGTGGGGCCTGCATGGTGCGCGCAGGACTTCCAAGAGCTGCTGCAGCTGCCGGATGAAAGGCTGGTCACCACCCAGTCCTGTAATTGTGTGTGAGCTCCGCGCGGTCAGTCCGAGTCAGGCGCCGCCAGATCGGCTGCGTACAGCGCGTGCGCTCCACCGATCAATGGGCGGAGCTGGCGCGCTCAAAGGCGGATGCCACGTGGCACGGCATCAGCAACCAGCGGCTGATGCAAGACATCAGTGGAAACTTTGTGTGGTACGCTAGAACCGGATCCCTCCTGGATGGCTGGGCAGAGTATTTCAAGTTCACAGCCTTCCAGGACCCGCAGCCAAAGGTTGAGGATATCCTCTTTGTGCGCAGGGCCCACTAGGTCACTGCTTTGCTGCGCTATCCCTGGACTGTACTTCGATTCCGCTCCCCCTCGTAGGGATTCTTGAATAACGCGCAGCTGTTCTCCCGCCTTCGCCCAAAAGCTGGGGGGCGCCACAAGCCACAGAGCCACAGGGCCTGAAGCCAATGAGCGAGGGCCATACTTGCAGGGGATCCAAAACAGGAGCCTAGATCATGACAGCTTTGACCGCATACGGATGCATACGGCATACGACATCTTGAGTTGTAGTTGTACTGTGCCGTACTGCACGATACGAGTTCTTAGGGGTGGTAACCGCGACGTCTTTGGCCTTACGCCTCTGTTTGCTTTGCTCCGTTGCCCCCACGTAAGGCCAGCTGCTGCATCGTCGACAATGCAAAGCGCAGAGTATATGCAGCACATCATAGAAGTCGACGAAGCGCAGAAGTGCAGAAGGTATTACAGCAGTACAGCCCAATAAAAAATGTAGAGCACTCCGCTCGCAGCTCAACTTCCTAAGCAATATGCGTTGCTATCTCAAGAGCCCGCTGTGTCGGCAATCAATGTTATGGTTACAAAGCAACTCTTATATAATCCCTGAATGGGAATCCCATAGTCCATCTCTAGTCCTCATAATCATATACCCGTGGGGTCCTCAAGTGTACCGTATTTCTGGGAGGGCCTACTTGGAGAGTCAGGGAGACTTAGTAAGTAGGCTAGTAATGGGGATGATTGGGGCTACTATATGGTTTACAGGGCTTATAGACCTACTTACCAAGTCCCCTTAACCTTAAACCCTACCTACTTACTATCAGTCCCCCTGACCCTCCAGGTAGCCAGATGTTGGGCCTGATTTCAACAGGGTTGCTGGCAAGTATTTAGCCTAGGCCTTCTCCTAGTATTACTAATAGCGTTAGAAATAACATTGATATGAAGTTCAATAATAATCGTAAAAATAGTAATCCTAGTGAGAATAGTCACGGTAACAAGAATACTAGCATTTCTGTAAAAACGCCTGGCGTCTGAAACGTCATCCCAAGCAGCGAGCTTCCGCAGCTGCTTACAGACGCGCTTTTGTGACCCGCCTCTGGAATTGCCATTTTTCCAACTGTTCGCAGGCTATTTCAACCTCCGCAACGTCGTGGCCTTGGAACGTTAAGATCCTCAAAATGAAGAGTTCATCATTTGCGGTTGGCTGAAGGGACCGCTTTGACAAACACACAGATGGCGTGATAGCCGGACAAACCCGACATAGTAGAAGTGTGGTCTTTATTCTGAAGGTCCATCAAATGGTTCCGCTTAATGCTTGATGCATGTCGCGTAAGGATGCGATGGGGTCAAAATCCCTGGGATAAGCTTTATCACCAGGTATGTGCGATGGCACCAGTCTTGTTTTTTGAGTAGGCTCGTGCTTCGTATTGCTTTGAGAGTACAAGAACGCATGACATACCTTCCTTCTAATGATCGCACAGCTTATGGATTTTCTTGGGTCGTTCCAAGAGTTTGTGGTTTGGGTGGCATTCTGTCAGACGTACTATCAACAAGTCAATTGTCAACCTGTGGCAGGAAACCTGAATCCCAACCTAACGGGGAAGCCAAGCACGAGGTCTAATCAAGGTGGCAATTCTTGCATCAGTAAAGCCCCCCCCTCCCTCTGCTTCAACCACGGGCGCAATTGTCCGGACAATTTGTCTTTGCTGCATGTAGCTAAAGAGCATCCTCTTTGTGAGCCCTGCACTGCAGCTGGTATTTTGACTGGGTAGCATACCTCCAGCCGCTGGTGGCAGGCTAACGACTCGACATCCTGAGGATACGGCCTAGCTCACAGGCATGTCGTCAGATTCGATCACTAGTGATAGCGCCTCCAAAGCCAAGACTTCAAGAGACAGAAGTCGGACATTGGGTGCATAGAAACCTGACACTTTGAACCATACCCAACCAAGCCGGGGAATTAAAGCGCATTGAAAGATATTAAAGAACCAGCAAAAACTGACGCGCTATGCATTGCACGGGTAAGCAAGCAAGTTACACAATTACGAAGATCCTGAATGCTTGGTAGCCACATCAGGGTCGCTGTGGTTAGGCGACTACTTGTTAAACCGGATGTATAGTGCACTGGCCATCTATTCCGAACATGTGAGTGTGAGTCTCGCAGATTGTTAAAGCTTCAGCCCGTCACGGTCCGGTTAGGAAGGATTGGCATGATCTTCTTTCATGATGCAGTGATGATTCCGATTCTTGTTCCTGGTCGCTGTGAGCGGTCTTGATGATGACAATTCTCTTTGCTGCGTTGCTGCAACTGACTATCACCTTTGTCGTCATGTCCTCCATGACGAGCAGAACTTGGCTTTGTTAGGGCTTTCTCCACGAGGCCTGGCCAAATGGTCAGTCACTCACTACAGTGGATGGAGAGCACCCTGCACCTCTTAGAAGCCCCGGAAAGCTGCAAGGTTTTGTGGAAATAAGGCAACCCTAGATGCGAGCTCCTCAGACTTACCCCTCCTGAATCCTTAGCGGAGCCCTATATCTCTCTTGCAATTCCAGATATATCCCTGCGTTCCCTGAGGCTCCATATTTCAAGAGGCCCGTACATCCCGGGACCTGCAGCAAGGTGGATCCTACCTAGGAATTTTCAGGATGGACGTAGGCTGTAGGCTGTAAGGTTTCCTCCATCGACGCTACCCCATGCTGCCAATGAAGCGGTAACTTATGCTGCATGGGCCCGGTCGGCCGGACCGTCTTGGGGGTAGGGCTTAGGCTACGGGTTTAGGATTAGGATAAGGGTTGGAGTTACAGCTCGGAGTCAAGGTTTAGGGAGGATAAAAGGTTCAGGTCTCAGAAGGGTTTAGAGGTAAGGCTCAGGTATTGAGGTTCAGAGTTTGTACAACAGGATTGAAAGAGATTCATGTATGGGTCGCTTTTCCTTATTTAGGATCCTTGTATTCATGACTGGCAGTTCGCAAGGCGTATACAGAGAGACGTTGATCTGGGCAGATATCCAATCTTCTATTTATAATATACTATGTTACACAATATATAGTGTACTAGAATAGCATACAGGGTTTAGCCACGCATCACGGCAATCAATCTTGCTGCCACCATGGCACGTGACACCCATCTCGGCCCCTTGTATGGGAACCTGCGAAGACCGCACGTCAAATCCTAAGCCATTCGCATGCCTAAGTCAAGATGCAGTCATGCTGATGAACTCGAGCTTTCTCTGAAGACGTCCGATTTCACATAGCCGTCAGAGACGTGGGCCAGTAGAAGCCGGGACCTTCCATTGCACCTTGCAACCCCAAGGAAGCAGCACGCAACCCCAAGCCTCAACCTGATACATGCTGAGGATGGCACTTTCCGAAAATCTCGCTATCAGTGCACATCTTATTACAATCACCGTGCTCTTCGTTACTGTAGCTGAATGATTCAGATATGATGGCACCATCTATGGTCATTGTGATATTAGTGTTTCATTAGGCTAAAATTTCAGGGCCAGATCCTGAAGCCAGAGCAACCTGACCGAGCCCTGCGACTAGAAGTGCTTGGGCTTCCCTGGGCACTGCTGAACCACGCAGATCCTGTGGTTGACTGAAAGGCATCCAGAAGCTGTCTTGGATTTGGGAGTTTGATGCCTGGAGCGCGAAGATCCAAGCATCCAGAAGTGCTAGGTTTTCAGCTTGAGAGCCCTGCTTAGATCTCGGAGGCCGCAGCGATCTGTTGGTCTTAGGCGAGTAGGTTTTTGGGCGTTGATGTCTTGGAGTTAAGGCTTCAAGGTGAAGATGCTAAAGCCGCGAGCGTCTGCATGGTCCTTTAAGAGAAAATTACTACTATAACCCCAATATGTACCCTATTATCCTTATTAGAATGTATCAGTTCCCATGTTCTTTTGCACTATCTTTTTGTAGCCCCAGCATATTCCCTTATTCCCTACTCACCCTTAACCCAAAACCCCAAACCTATAATCATATAACCTTATTCGGTACTAACTTCTAGTAAGGACAGTTCAAGCCAGTCACACAGAGCAGGCTTCTAGGCTATTGCTTTACTGGAGATCCGTCTCAAATATACTAGAGTCTAAACTCCTGAAAGGGGGTGGTATGGGGTTCAGGGTTTAGGGTCTAAACTTAAAGGGGGCGAAGACAAGAAGTGAACTGAAGTTGTATGAGGATCCCTTGACCTCATGGAAAAGGTAAGAGCCTATGTAACCCCAATATACTACAGTAGTTTCCATTTTCTTTTCCATTATCCCAATATAACCCAAATATACTATAGTAGTTTCAATTTTTGACGACATGTGTTCAGGTGCTTGTTTGCCTGAAGACTCGGACATGAAGCTAGCATTGTCAGCCCACACAGGCAAACACCACTGAGCACTTGTGACACACGGCCTTACACACACATGCACCTCAATTTGTAAGCCATAGGTGCACACAATTGCGGACAGTCACCAGTATTCCTCAATGTGCCCGTCTCTCCGCAGCAGTTTTGAGCCGGGCGGCAAAGACATGTTAATGCCTATTGCTTGCGGATGATAGTAAAGGAGTGGATGTCCTCTTTGTTCTTCCTTGGTGTTTGCGACTTGCGGCGTTCTAGGTGCTAGCAACTAGCAAATGATGCCTGCACAGCTTGGGCGATGACATGACTACGTTCCACATTCCAAAGCTGAAGCCTTCGAGTCTGCTTTGTAGCTGCAGGAACTTCTATGGACACTGGAATCTCTAAGGGAATCTCTACATGAAATGCAGCTGAGTCAGCTGAGTGATAAGCCTTAAAGCAGAAGCATCAAACATGTGAAGTCGCTGGAGTGCAACATTTGGAGGAGTTCTTGTTCAAAACTCTGGGAGCACTTTGGAGACAGGAGGGCATGATTCCCAATTGGGAGCGGCGCCTCATTCACGTGCGAAGGCTTGCTGCAGCCACTCAGCGGAAGGTTGCCCTGAACCCTAAACCCCTAAACCATAAATAGTAGTTTCCATTTTCTTGTCCAATATCCCATTATAATCCTAGTATATACCCGATTA